CTTGGTGATTCACGCACAGCTTTCGCATTTTCACCAATTGTGGTTGGAGACGACGCAAAGCAATTCGATTCTGACGCTTTTTCCCCAAAAAAAAACACATCCGAGATGCAAATGAAGGAATCCCGCCACCATCAGCGTGTTGGCGATCACACCCGGGCCCGCCAAATACAGGCACTGCTTGGCCACTCTCTGTGCAACTCCTCGACTTTCGACGACTTCGACGTTCGACTGGCTTCGACTTCACAGGGGAGTCGAGCGAGTCCCTCCCGTTAACGGAAGGAAACCAAGGGGACACCTGGAGCCCCAGTTTGGATGTTCCTCTACGGTTTCTTGGGTTCCATGGGAAAATGCCCGTGCCAGCGAACCGGTCCAGCGGATGTTTTCTGGCGTGAACCCGTCCTGTGTTGATGGTCATGGCATCCGCCATAAGTAAAGCCGGCAGCATGGTGAAAAGGAGGAGGTGGGGATCGATGTTCCTCAGTTGGGGTTGGCCAACGGCAAACAGCCGGGTGTGTCAAAATAGAGGAACCCCAAAAATTGGCGTGGTCTTCGCTTCGGTTTCCCCTTGCAACCACCCAAAAAAAGGTACCCTTAGAAAAGACAAACCCCTACAACATGTGGCCATGGGTCTACAGCCCGTACCCCTAGTGAACATCCCAATCCCCACCAAAATCAAGCCTAAAAATGGGTGGTGAGTTCACCCACCAACCAAAATGGGATCCCAAAACGGTTTTGAACGCCACAGCCATCTCCTCGCGTTTTCCCAGCTATCCAGCTTTCCCGCCGGGCTACATCCACATCTCCCAGGAGCTTGCCCACACGGCGTTCATGCTCTCGGCCGGCACCGCGTTGTGGATCAGCGCCAGGATGATGCCGCTAATAAACAGCGCCACTGTCTGCTGAAGTCCTGGAGCCGAAGAATTCGCCGAGGCGAGCGAAGCGAAAGACGCGCAGATCTTGGGAACGCCGGGCGGGGAAAAAAAAGAAAGAAGCATGCGACCGAGAACGACGCTCAGATGTTGTGCCAAGCAAGGGAGAAACAACAACAAAACAAGACAGCGGTTGGAATCTGCGGAGCCTCTCTTGACGCCCGCAAAAGAATCACTTTGTTCGCTCTAATTTTTGTTTCCTCCCAATAGAAGCCAAATCCAATCTCTGTATGGGAAACTGACAAAGGGCGAATCGCACGTGCACTTGAATCTGGATCAGCTTCAAACATTCTTGCCGCACGAAAAATCCCACTGCCAAATCACCACATCGCATCCCCCCCCCGGCAGTCCTTTGAAGTATTCCACCATGGTAAGCGCGGTCAAAGAGACTCCAAAGATAAAGGAGAGCAGTAGAAACGCCAGAGCGTCGTGAGGATGACCGTGGGCATCGTGGCCTGCAGATTCATGTGGCTCATTCGCAGCAACCATCTCCCAGTTTGACGTCAAGTTGGAGCTCCCAAGTGGCATGGAATTCATGACGAACTAGGCACCTGCCGTGTGCTCGTTCGCTCCGTGCTCGACACCGCCCTCGGTCTCATTGCCTGTGTGGGCAGGTCAACGACTTTGGCAGCTGGTGACGTGTGAAACGACTGCACTCCCGGCTCTGTTGTTGGATCAGCCCCAGTGATTTCCAAGGCTTCACAAACCTGCTGGTTCGGAGTGTTCTGCGCGCAATTAACAGTGACAAGCAGTGACAAGGGCCGTTTGAAAGTCTCAGGGCCCAAGAAAATCCTCAGCGTGGTCACATCTTGCTGTAAGGATTCAGCTCCGGCCTGTCTGATTCTCACAGCTGACGTCTGAAGTTGCCAAACGTCGGGGCTGAGTCTCGAGGAAGCCCACATAGCCTAGGACCAACCCCCCGATCCCATCTTCCCCCCCTAGTCTTTGCCTGAGCTTGGAGCTTGCCAAAAAGAGGCTCCACCCCACTGCCGCGAGCCTCGGCGCGTGCGCGCTACGAGGTGCAGCCAGGCGATCCCAGTTGACGCGTCGCGGCGGATTCGCTTCGGACCAAGGCACAGCCACCCCAAGGGGATGCATCTCGCCTGACGGCGAGACGCGCAGGAAGGAAAGTTTCTTCAAGCTGAGCTGAGCTGCGGACCTTTGGGACCATTGCCGTCGGGCAATAAGCTCTCTCTTCAATGCCCCGGAGGAAATGGGTGTGAATTGGTTGGGGTCCAAAAGAGTGACTTTTTTGGGCGCAGAAAAAAATCGGTGGAGATTCATGTCCGCCACTTTGGTGGTTCCCTCTTAAAATGCGCAGGTAAATGAGAATGGGCTGGGGGCTCGCTTGTGTGTAATCGGATCGCTTCGAGAAATGACTGCGCAATCACAGACTCACAGAGCCATGCTCTCTTAAAAGCCGTGCAACGGCTGCGGCGCGCATATCTGCACATGTTCAAAACTCCCTTTGTTTGGCCGATGGGGTCATGGTAGGAATCAGCAAAAATGTGGTTACCCTAAAATTCAACCCCTTCCCATTAAGAGAATGGCCTTGGCATCCAATGTGGATGATGACAATCCTGACGCAAACAATGGTGATTATATAAACCCAACCGTTGTTTGAACAGTGGTAACCAGGGGATACGCATCCTTGCCATGACCATCCCAACGTTAGGCCCAAAGAGACAAATCGTGGCACATGTGGCTTTGAGTCAAGCAAGCCCAGGCTCACCCAAAAGCAAACAGGTCTTCGCCTTTGAGAGCACCGTCTTTTTGGGGCGGCCCCCCCCCAAAAAAAAATGAAAAAGTAAAACACGCAAAGGGCATCCCCTAACAAAAAGAGTAACCCACATGAAGCTGTCTCGTCTCCATTTCTTGCCGCCGGTTAGGGCGAGCTATGTTGAATGCTATCAAACAAGACACCAAACCCCTACAATTGTTTATCCTGTATCCAAGTTCTTAAGGACCAGTTGTCGTCCACTTTGGGGGTTCAGTTGCCTGTCAACGGGTCCCGCACCCGACGCCGTATGTCAAACATGCAAAGGCTGGCGCAGTAGAATCTGGCGACGAGCTCAAGGCAACTTGCTTTCCGATGCTGTCCAGTATGTGTGTGTGTGTGTCTTTGTTTAGGGGAGTCCCACACGATGGGCTTCCTTCCAGACCAACCAAAATGGGAGCCCTAAAAACAGACAGACCCGTATCATCTGAGGGATGCGGCACAGACCGGAGTCTGGTTTCGGGCCTGTCAGCGGGACGCCGGCAGTCAGCAAATGTTGCACCACGGCCTGGCAAAGGCGAAGACGACCCAGGTGACCCACTGACTCCACTCAACTGTCGGGTCGCTCAAAATGCGGTCTGCGCTGAACTTGCAGGAGGGTCGGTCGTTTTTTTTTGAGGGTCTCCGCTCCGGGCTGGTGCTTTTCGGGAAGCCAAAGGAAAACCTCCCATTTTGTGGGGTCCAACCTCACATCCAGGCGCGCACGACGACTCACCGATGTTTTCTGGCTCTCTCTTGCTTCTCGAAATGGTGCGGATCCGGGGCTTCGAAAGCCCTGCGCGAAGACGCCGTGCTCGCTCTTGGCATACCTCACAGCGACTGGACCCTGCGCAATTGAATGGCTTGCGTCCAGCACCAAAGCTCCAATTTCCAGCCATTGGCTTCGGAGGTGTCCTCGTTTCAGGGCTCTGGCTACTAAATTTCCTTGCGGATGACTTCCACGTGGAAAAAAACGGGGTCCACCAACTCTCCCTGAGGTCGAGAAGCGAATGCCAGCGAAACCTCACCGCTCCGCCGCGCGGCGCTGAGCTCGGAGCTCTGAGTTAGGACCTGGACACGTCTTCATCCAGGCGCCGGATCTCCTGGAGAAGGCACGGGCAGTGTGCCTTGAGATCCTCTTGCTACATGGGTGTGGTGGTCAAAAGCGTTTTGGGATCCCATTTTGGTTGGTAGGTGCAGCACCCATTTTAGAACCGGATGTTCACTTGAGATACGGGATTTTGACCCATGGCCACACCAATGTGGTGGTCAAAAATAGGGAAGCAAGGACGGAAGAACCTGCGGTCCAATTCCTCGCGACTAATTTTGAACTACAAATGGAGACCTCGACCCAAAAAGAAAAGAAGGAATGCACCTGCTTAGGTACCCTTCCAGATTGATCTCAGTGCAGAAGCAACTCTTGTGAAAGGCGTGCCACATCCAACTCGTTTGGTGCGCCGTGTAAGACACCTGAGTCGCAATCAAAGGTGAACCCAGAACCATGCAAAGGAATAAGAAGGCGGCCGCAGCTATTTATGGTTGGGATCGTCCCTAACTAAGCTTCATCGACCCGGGTTTTGATTGTGGCTCACCTGCCTCTTGCTCCACCAGCTGCGCAGTGCTGGCATTCTTCACCGCCATATCAGCCGCGGCCTGGCGATCGCGTTTCCGAAGACACGTGAGCCGTTGCGCAGAGGAAGAAGGGGTCCGACGTTGTTGTTTCTTTTGTTTCCTTCTTTTTCGTGCTTTTTTTTGCCCCAAAAAGTTGAAAGGAAACCAACAGGAAACAACTTTTCAGGGGATAAGTCACACCCAAACGAGCTGCCCGCAGCCTGCCACATGCTTTTGATGATTCAGGTCACTCAATTCAGCGGAAAGAGAGCGGGGGGGAGAGCGTGGAAAGTTGAAGGGAAGAGGAGTGGAGAAACAAGGCAAAAAGCTAGAGAATCAGACAAAAATAATGGGATATCGCAGGTGGCAGTGGGCCAAAGACAATATTGAATGAATCAGTGCGGGAGACTCAACACCTAAGAAGCCAAAGCCAAGAGAACTCTTGCTGCAGCTTTTGTGATCAAAGTAGCATCTGGAGTGTGAAACAATCTGACAGTCCGGCAAGGGCTCACAATGCCGGGTCTCGATTCCTTGTGTTGGTCCTTAATAAGCTCATCATAATGAAAATTCTACAATGACAGCCTCTTGGGTACAGTTTGTATTCAATGGAAACTGCTAGCTGACAACAACTGCCTTGTTTTTGCGGTTTAAATCCCGTTTGGGCAACCAAACCTGGGGTGCTCGCACAGGCCTCGGCTTTTCTCAGGTCCCTCTCTACTTGCTCCTGGCGGATGTGCAGGGCGAAACACGACGAAAACAGCTGAATCATACGGCTGTGGCTCAAAAGTATGCACCAACATGGCACCTTGATAAATGGAACCAAAGGCTAAAACCTGTGTAACACCCTAGCTCTTAGATTTGAGCCACACCCATACAGTCATAATATGTGTGTGTTTATATGCGTTGTCAATGGGACACGCCTGGAGGGAATGAATCCAGATTTCCCAAAGCTGCGCCACGGCCAGCGCCAGAGAATCAGATAGCACATGCACGTGTCACAGATCGCCGGCTGTGTGGTTCCCGGCCCAAAAAGAAGCCCTAGCCAAAATAAAGAGAGAAACAGGAGAAACGAGAAAAACAGGGGGAACAAAAATACAAGAGACATTGGGAAACACCCCCCAACAATAGACATAGGAGAAGTTGGGTTGAACTAAGACAAGAAGCAGTAATAGAACTCGAAATAGCTTCAAGGATCGAATTTTGGATACCCCTTTGGGGCCCGGGCCTTACGCACCCCCCGAAGTCTCAAAACACGTGGCCCCAGGGAGCCGCACCCCTCCCTAAGATCCCAATGCTTTCAGCTGGCCATTGAACCATTGAGATGTGACCTCCATTTCCCAGATACCTCCCTGAAAAGGTGGTAGATATCCAGTAGTCTACCAGATTCCCTTCAAAACGAGCAGAAAGCGACCGAGCTGAGTAGACCACACTGCTCCCGTTAAAATTCGGGGGTGCTTCCCCCAGAAGCGAGGAATTCGGGGGGAATCTCTGCAAAGCCACCTATGAAAGTTTGGGGGGTAAAGAGCGAATTTAGGATGTTTTCCGGTTGCCCTGCTAAAAGTTCAACTTTTCATGGCCTTCATGGGAAAATCCATTCGTTGGCAGGAAGTTGTTCAGTCCTAACCTCCACGCAAAATTTGCGCCAAAGTTAATTCACCCGTCGTTTTCAATGGGTGTCTCGAGGTTTTCTAGAAAGATTCGGATCCCAAAGAATGGAAATGGAAGGTTCCCCCAGAGATTTGCGTCAAAGTGGGTGTCTTCGTTTTTCAGGGTGGACCCAACAAATGGATTTCGGTTGTCCTTTTGGCTCTCCGTTAACACGGGGTCCACTTAGCGGTCCACCGAGCCGCCCTCGCTGCTGGCCGCTCCTCCAGCTCCTTGGCCCTCTGAGCCTTTCGGAAGGCCTCCTCCGCCGCCAGCTGCGCGGCCTCGCTGGCGCCCAAGAAAGGAAAACCCCCGGCCGTGGTGTTTGTTTTTGGGGAAAGACGCCTCCTGGAGTTGACGGTATATATGTTTGCTTGTTTGTTGTTTTTGTGTGTGTGTGTGTGCTTGTGTTTTGTTTTTTTCCTCGGGCGGGTTCAGGGCGGGTTGGGCATTCTTCGGGGGTGTGTTTTTTCGTGTTGGGTGTTTGCCGGTGGCTTTGGGCGTTGCTGGGCGTTCACTGTCGGATGTGCGCTTCTTTTGGCGGCGGTTGGCGGCCATTTTGTGGGCAATGTGCGGCCTGTTGCGGGTATTTGCGCCTCGCGAGCTGTTTGGTGGCAATGTGCTGTTGCTTGCGCTGAAAATTGGTGCCAATCCCAAAACTACCAGGAATTTCTAGGAGAAGGAATCTCCAGGTTGGTTGAGTTCGGGAGACGAGGGAAACAGTTTTGCTTTTTGCAAAAGTAAATACTCGAACGGAAAGTGGTGGCAAAGTACTTCTAGACCAAAGCTAATTGTGCACCATCGACCTAATACTGGCGAGAAACCGGCCAAGTGGGGACGCTGCTCACTTGAGAGTGTGATACCCCTGTCTTGGTGGCTTGAATGGGAAACCAAAAGGAACAGCGTTGCGCCATTTTGAAGAGGCCCAACCTTTCAAAAAGACACGACCACTTGAAAACCAATTGTACCATTTTGGGGTAGGTGCACCACCCATTTTAGTCTATTTTAGTGGAGATTGGGATGCTCACTGGGGGTGACCCACGACCACTTGAGTGCCTATTTTCCCTTTTGCCCTCCAGTTTCCCCGTTTCTCGCCCCGACGCAACTCGAAGTGAAGCCGATTCGGCGCGCGCCCTGGCAGTGGCTTCCTCCTCTCGCGCCTTCGCTGCCTGGCAAGTGGGCAAATGAGTCACTT